CTCTTGCTCGCCGGCGAACGCACTGTGGTACCAGGGGGCGATCACCGCAGACAGGTGGGGGAACTGTTGGATGTGGTCCGGACCTTCCACGCGAGCGCGCTGGCTCCGACAGGCCTGGATCGTGTTGATCAAGGCGGGGCCCGAGATGTGGCTGACCGTGAGCCACGTGCCCGGCACCGAAGTCCTCCCGCACTTGAGATCGATCCTGTTGTTGGCGTCCCGGAACCGAAACTCAACACGATCGGCATCGTTCCCGTAGCCTTCTCGCGATGAGCGATCTGTCACCCTGAGCTCACAAGTGCTCATGGCATGATCACTCGCCATCACTGCTCCTCTCGGGCCGATCGTGTAGACCCGGGCTCCGACCTCGAACGAGGTCACGGAGACCTTCCATCCAACGAAGACCGAGATGACGATCGAGGGTCGGAACCATCCTTCGTTGGCCGACCGGATCAAGACCTCGTCACAGAACTGCTGCTGGACAGAGAGATCTGAGGCCCCTGAAGACCCAATGGAAGAGGACCTCATTTCCATTGAAGACCTTCACATCCACATAGGTGGCCGAGGTGTCGAACATCACCGGCCACGTGAAGGGCTGGAAAGCCGGGTGCGATAGCGCCCGACTCGCATAGGAGTCCCACTGAGCACATGGGCCCCCTGTTCTCGAAGTCATCGAGAAGAGCAGAACTGCTTTGATACCGTCGAGCGTATAGTTCGCGAACAGCGAACAGTGGTAGCCCGAGTTCGGGGGCATGACCGTTGATCGAACTGGCGGCATTCGAGATGATCTCCTCGGCCAGCCAGTTCTGGAATGGGGAGATCACCCGATCGTCGCGATTGTCGATGATGAGGAGGGAGTTCTTGGTCTCATCCTCCTCTTCAACCACGAGCTGGCGAACGAACTCGGGTCGCTGCACCGCGAAAGGGTTGTGAGCAGCGGGAGCACCACGATCACGACGTCCGACGATCGTCGCGACCCCAGCCTCCAGAGCCCCAATCACCGGATGCGGCAGCTGGAGCCGCGGGATTCTCGGGAGCCTCTGCCTCGCCTGGAACGTAGTGTCCCCAGTTCCAGCCGGCGAGGCAACCCGAACTGTGGGGCCATCGGAGCCGCCATGTGCCGACCTTGATGGAAGCCAGCGGGAGGGAACGACATGGCTGCAATCGAGCGAGCCTATTCACTTCCACCTCCCACGCCGAAATTTTTCGGTATGGCCCGATCGGCTATCGCCAAAATGGCCACGGAAAAGAAAGATCACGTCTGTTCCAACGATCGCGAAACTGATCTCCTAATTCCTACCCACCAGACCGATAATTAGGAGACATACACATACATACATTCATTCATTTATCTATCTATTTTCGTTTCTATTTTTGGTATGTATGTGTAGGTGTGTATGTCTGTACATATGAATATCAATGCATACATATTGCGTAAATACATACATAAATAAACAAACTATATGGATACATGTGTGTGTATGTATATACATCTTTATTTGTACGCTGTATATATATATATATATAACTATTTATACATACACAGGTGTATACACACACATCCACGCATAATTGGTACGATCCGTGTGTCAGGCCTTCGCGGAGATCACCGCATCGAGAAGCAGCCAAAAGCTGCTGAAAAGCTTCCTGGAAGAGGCATGACACGGAACAGTTCATGCAGCGCGCCCGTTCGCGAGCGCACGTCAAAGAGCGGGAAGTGCTGGCTCCTTGAAGCAATATTTTGCAGCTGAGGCGCATTTCGTCGAGTGTGCCCCGAAGCCGGAGTCACACAAATTCTGCGTTCCTGGTCACAACACTCTCACAGCTACCAGCTGTGTCAGCTATACCAGCGACCGGCTGCGATGCGAACCAGGCTCAAATGGAAGATGTGCCCGGATCGACAGGGACGGCTGGGATTGCTCCTTCAGCCCCCGGTGCTAGACCCGGACTCGAGCCCCATGCGTCGGGTCCAGAGCTCGTGAACAAGACAAGGCGCAGAAGCGGAAGCAGCGGCAGCAGCGGCAGCACAACACCGCCACCGGAACCACCACCAACTTCACATGCAATACCCCCCCGAAATCCCGGCCAATCCGCGACTTTAATGACTAGTTAAATGAAGCTAAACGCTTGCAGCTGCATGCAGTGCCCCAAATGACAGGCATGCAAAGAATCAAAGCTCTCTCTGTTGCGCACTAGTTGCAAAGATACTTATTTGTCTCGTCGGCTGCCGCGGTAGCGCCCTGCATCTCTGCATGGCTTGGCCCGCAGTCGTCTGAAGGGAGATCTTGCTAGGACCACTCTCCGACCGGGAATCGCGCGGCTGGTGATTTCTCAACCAAGCTAACTGGCTGGTTGCTTATTTCGGACTTCGAAACAGTGGGGCTGGGAAGGTGAGACGTCTTGAGCTCTCAGCGCTGCTGGAACTACATGCCGCCGAAGTCCGCCCTGAGCAGAACCCGCCGAAGCGGAACTGTCAGTCTGGAAGGTCGGCGCTGTCTTCTTTGAATCGGTGCTCTAAGCCCACGGCGTCGGGTTGAAATCCGGATCCGCTGCGAGCTTCTGCCTCATCCTCTCCATATGTTCTTGAAGCCTGCCGTCACAAAGCCCGGACGAGATGCTCACTGTTGGTGCTTGAAGCCGGAAAAAGACGGCATAATGCAAGGAAAGTGCAAGGCACTCATTGTGAAGGGCAGCTGGTGGAAACAGCATTCCCAGAAACTTCAAGATTGGAAACCAAGACCATAAACATATTCATGCAGACATGTACGTTCGTTACAAGCCCCTGGACATCTCCAGGATGCACTAGACGGATGTCTCCGAACTCCGGACAAGAAATCACGTCAGCATCACAACCTGCGAAGAGAGAGAGCGAGAGAGAGAGAGAGAGAAGGCATCCCCGGGCAAGGGGATGGGCACCCGCGTCGTCTCCGCCTCCAAGGGGTTGAGACGCATGCGGGGCACGGAGCTCCGAAAACGTCATGGCCCCGTGCAGAGCAGGCAAGCAAGCAAAGTGAACAGTAACAATCTCTGTGTACTTGCAGGCGAGAGTGTGTGATAAGGTGCGAAAGAGCGTGGACACGGGGGTGGCTGCAACGCAAGGAGATATCCAGCGTAATCGAGCAGCGATAAGTTCATGTAGCGGTCCAAAGTGGCAACTCCCGGGAATTTCGCCCACGACCATCCGGCACAAGTCACCGGGCGACGTCGGGCCAGGGAACCCCACCACTGCAGCCCGGAACTTGCAAAGGATACTTGTGGTACCAGCTGTAAGAGGATAGTCTGGACCAGGGAGCTCCACCGCTGCAACCTGGAATAATGCGGTGTCCATAGGGTCTGTTTCCAGATGTTTTGAGTCTAAGTCCCAAAGTGAATCTCGACGAATGTATCGTAGCACACGGTGCCTGACACAGTGCTCGTAGTCGTCGTCGGAAGTACACGGCACTGTCGCCCTAGCCCTAGTGCCACCAGGTGGGGGAAAGGGGAGTGTGTGCTCCACGAGTCATCACGACTCTTAGTGCTGCCCTAGGGGTCCTCACTCTTTCCAGCACCAGCCCACCCAGCAAGGACCAGCACAAGGCATCGGGGACAACCTGCCAACAAACTCTGGTACTGGAACACTTCGCACAAAAAAGTTTTCCGTAGATCGGCTGATGAATCCCCGGCAGACTCGAGCTGAGGAGCTTGTCTGCTGTGTCCCTGTCGAGAGTGCCGGACCGCATCTTGTCCAGGAGCTCCTGTCTTTAGTGCGAACAAAGTGTAAAGGCGGTTTTTCTCCCACTACATCGCCACATCCAGTGGCTTGCCTGTTTGAGCACGACAAGGAAGATAGCGATTTTGTCTTCTACTGAGCTGGAACGAATGATTTGTTTCAGTACGATGAAGTAGTACGGAGGCCCAATTCGCAACAGCGTTTTATGTTTTCTGCCCGTCACTGCTATTGCTTGTGGCAACTTATCATGGTAATGACACAAGCGAGAGGTCTGTCCAGATTTTCGCGAGGTGTCAGGAAAAACAGAGGCAGTAAATCTAGTCGTGCTTTGTCATACTCAATCTCTTCAGCAGGGCACTGCTCTTGTGTCATGGACTGCGTCTCTTGGAAGGAGGCCAGCATGTGCTGTTTGTTCACCGGCTTTGCAGAGCTCGCTGTCCTCAAAACCAAATGAAGCGCCAGTGTCTCATACATGCGGAAATCGGGTGTTCATCTTTCTTGGCTGGCCAATCGTGTTGGCATGTACAGTACCACTTCGTCCACTTGAACACAAGGGAATTTGGCAGAGAAAACCTGTTGCGTGTCCTTCCTCAAGTCACCCACGGTCCTGCTGCGTTTGTTGGTATTGAAACGGCCCTGACCCTTTCCATGCATTTCGCCGAAATCCCTGACAGTAGGAGTCAGAGCCTTTGCATGCGTTAGCCGGCGGTACGCGCGTCTTCTGCCATCTCGCTGCAGGCTGTTCAGAATCTGCTGGACGCTGCTGGAAGGCGATCTGAAAGCATTGTTCGGCAATGATTCTGTCGTTGTCTTCTTTTTGTTTTGCTTGTTCGGATAAAACAACTTGTGTATTTGCAAGGTTCTTGCTTTTGCGCATCATGAGAACGACATTCTTGTTTGATCGTTTCCTGCCCCTGCTGAACAACCGTGATTTGATGTGCGATGTTCCTCCTGCGTAACTGTCCTAACTCCTGGCCGACGCTGTCGTCGTCTAGTTGCCTTTGCTCCATGTCCTCAATCACTTTCTTCCGCACTTTGTCATGAAAGATAGAGAATTGGCTTCCCGAACGTTGACATGCCTCCCCCCGGTGTTCCACAACCGAGTATGTATAAAGCCCCTGACGGCTCTTGTTTGAACATCATCTCACCATCCAAAGTGGTGCGTCAAGTGACCAAGACATAGGCGCACGATATACTAGCAAAGGCTAACTTGACGCAGGTGGCTACACGTCGGAGTCGCATCACGAACAAAATGGTGTTGCTTAAAATCGGGGTACCTTCGTCATAGAACCTATAGCAAGCCTCGGATATCTGACAGGTGCTTGACATGGGTATCTGAGGTTCTCGTGGTCTCCTGCATCGTGTCGCTCTTCTCCGCTGCCTTAGGAACAGTGACGAGGCGTGGAGCGCAGACAACACAGTGTGACGTGCTGCTGCTCACGGCAAAGTGCATGGGCACGCGGGGGTAGGTGCCGGACCCGTACGAGGCACTGCACAGCCATTCTGGAATCTTGGGGAATCCCATCACCCTGGGGAAGGTCGAGACGTCTCGAGAAGACAGCGATTGTAAGCTGCACTGCTGCGCACCGTCGCAAACATCCGCGAGAGATTTCTGAGCGCTGGCTGACATCCCGCCTCACGCATACTGCAGAGCTTGCTAGTAGTACTGCATGGCAACTGATGCCACAACTCTTTCAGTGGACTCGACGGGCCCAACACATGCATGAACCCATCTTTCCTTGAGAGGTCGCTCGTGTGCAAGGTCAAAAGCTGTTCGACCAGTGGTGGAATACTGGACAAACGCGCCTCACCGGCGATTCTGAAGTGTCTGGCAGCCGCTTTTTTGTCCTGCAGAGAGAATTCGATAGCACACGCCCTCCAAGAGGCTGCCAGCAAGGTCTCTCCACTCTCCGTGCTGTCGGTCCATCGGGAAGCCGTTCTTCCCTCTGAGCTTGAAGACGCCCAGGTGGAAATGGGCTCTGCTGTCCCCGCCCTCCAAGGAAGAAGCGGAAGAAACTGGAATCATGTCCCAAAACCGGCGGAGCGGATTGCCTCCGCCCCGCGTTCGAGGTGGTAGTTGGCCATCGTGTAGTCTTGCTGCACCCCGAACTGGCCCCTAAGAAACATGTCTGAACAGCAAGGGCCCGAATAAGCATGGATCAGTGTTCGAAAGGAAGCGGGGAGAGAGAAAGACACAGAAAGAGCGAGAGAGAGAGAGAGAGAGAGAGAGAGAGCGAGAGAGAGAGAGCGAGAGAGAGCGAGAGCGAGAGAGAGAGCGAGAGCGAGAGCGAGAGCGAGAGCGAGAGCGAGAGCGAGAGCGAGAGCGAGAGCGAGAGCGAGAGCGAGAGCGAGAGCGAGAGCGAGCGAGAGAGAGAGAGAGAGAGAGAGCGAGAGAGCGAGAGCGAGAGAGCGAGAGAGCGAGAGAGCGAGAGAGCGAGAGAGCGAGAGCGAGAGCGAGAGCGAGAGCGAGAGAGCGAGAGCGAGAGAGCGAGAGCGAGAGAGCGAGAGAGCGAGAGAGCGAGAGCGAGAGCGAGAGCGAGAGCGAGAGCGAGAGAGAGAGAGAGAGGGAGGGAGGGAGAGGAGTAACAGTCACCTGGGATGTGGTACCGGGCCCTGTATAAGATGCATCTCGGGTCTTCGCAGTAGTATGTAGAGAGCAGAGGCTCCTTCCTTCTTTAACCATTGTTTCTTTCTCTTTCTGTGGGTTTCACTGAGTGAGAGCGAGAGAGAGAAAGAGAGAGAGAGAAAGAGAGAGAGGGAGGGAGGGAGGGAGGGGGGGAGGGCGAGGGAGAGGGAGAGGGAGAGGGAGAGGGAGAGGGAGAGGGAGAGCGAGAGGGAGAGCGAGAGGGAGAGGGAGACGGAGACGGAGAGGGAGAGCCGCGCGGCTCGATCTCCGTCGGTCAAGAGAACAACGGAGAGAGAGGCGGGGGCGCTGCTCTCGGCTCTCTCGGCGCTGTTTAGGTCCCGGGCTCGGCGAAGAGGGTCCCAAGGTCGGTGTCCGCCACGGCGAAGCCCGCCTCGGCGGCCTCCAACCCCCCAAACCCCCCCGCAGAACTCGACAGAAAAGCCCAAGAAAACCCTCGGAACTCATCCTTTTTGTTGCATTCGCGAGTCTGCAGAGGCTTCCCAAGTGCTGGAAAAGGGGGCTCCTCTCCCGAGACGCAGCTTGCGACCAAGCTGATCTGACCTGCATTTAGCGACAGCTGTTCTCACCCGTCAACAAGTCGTAGGTGCAGCAGAAAATGAGCATCGTGGTACCCACAGATCTGGCGCACTTGAATGCGGTGAGCGTAGGACCGAAGGGGCATTTCTCGTCTTGTTGCTTCTGCCCCCATCCTTTCAAGATTGCTCCGACAGAGATGCCGAACTTGCATCCGAAAGTGTCGGCAGCTGCGCAACTGACGGACAGCGATATGCCAACACCAGTCCAAAACCATTGCGTCGTCGCGCCTGACCGTGACGCTGGACACCCGAAAGTGAGAGCAGCTGGTTCTACAAAAGCCCCATTCCACGTTGCTGCTCTGCTACGCATCTACCTCTGTCACGTTCCCAGCCTGCAGCAGCTGCTGCACTCAACGCGATGGAAGCTTGAGGAGGTTTCCCGCTAAGGATGTTCTCGAGGCTCTTCTGCACGCTGACACCACCTCAATGTCTCACCAGCAGTTGACAGCCCGCGTTTGACGTGAAACCTCTACATGCATGCACGTATGTACGTACGTACAAACAACCGCCGCACTCTTAGCTCTGACGCCAAAACTGGACGACTCTTTTTCGTCGTGTGGATGTCTGGCGCTGCATGCGCCGCTCGGCGCGCAGGTTCAGGTCCTACAGCCGGCGCCGGCTGCGGACTGACCGCCGCCGAAACCCTTAAGGGTGGCGTGGGAGGGTTAAAAGCTGAAGACGTCGAAGAGGAAGACGCGTCGAGCCAGAGTGCTAAAGGCAGCTACGCCGTTTGCGGTTGTTACTGCGCACACAAGTGTGCTTCACTACATACATACATACATACATACATACATACATAAGCTAAAGCAACAGGCTGGCAAGAAAAGCTAAGAGCATCCGCGCCTGAAGCTCCCACTCGTACGTGTGAGGCGCAGTACACTCGGGGCGCTCATGTCGCAAACTGGATTGCGGCACGAGGCCCTGGAATGCCTGCCCTTGATTAAGAATATTCAGAAAACATTCCCTGGCTGCAGAATGTTGAGCGAGTCTGATGAGTCTGAGGCGCCAGATACCCCGAAATTCACGGCAACGTTGGTGTTGATCGGCCGACCATAGCCACCGCTTGCGGTCACAGCAAACTGGCCGAAGCAATCCAAGAGCTTGGCCACGAAACTTACCACAGCCTTGAACACCTGCAAACAGTTGGGGGATAAGGGTCCAAGGCACACTACGGCACACTGACACTACTGCTCATGAGCTCGAGGGTCTCCCAGCCTTCACAAAGGGCGAGGCGAGCTTACACCAGAAGTTGCAATGGGAGGCCTTGGCCGGGCGGCCAACACGGGCCGTGACGCCAGAGCTTCTGGGCAAAGACTCCATGGACAATGCGCGTTCAGATGAAGGCGGTGAAGGCTTACTTATGAGCAAAAGGGTTCGTTCTAGCTTCTGAGATAGCACAGCCACAGCAATGCCACAGACATCGGCACCAAGATCTCACTGGCAGCGCAAGTCACAGACGTGAGCAGTAACCTCATGCCTCGAAGCAAAAGCAAGGCACCTTGTCGCACGCAGCCAAGAGGCTTCCCCGACTTCCTTGATATCAAACCTCTCCCAACTCCAATGTGCCGGAAGGTCCCAGTAGTCCATTGGACCCTGCGTGACGAGGTCCTCAAGTCTAGTGCAGTGCAAATCCGGAGCTCTGTACAGCTTGGTAAGGACACACAAATCATCCACGTCAGCAGCGATCAACTCAACCAGGCAGCATTGCCCCCATCCATTTTCATGAACCTTTTGTGTTTCGTGTTGTAGAGTGCAATCTTGCCATTTTCCAGTTGCACCACCCTGAAGCGTTCCCATGTCATCCACTCGACCAGATCTTGGATGTTGCGTTTGCCACTCGCAGCCATCTTACCCTTGTCGTTCATCTGCAAGAAGCGGTTCCACTTGGTGTTGTGGAAAGCAACTTCGCCATGTCCGGCCATGATGGGAACCCACCGTTCCCACTCCGCATCACTTGGAACATTATCCCATGAACCGTCTTTCTTTTCAATGTTTTGCTCCTTGTCCATACCTTGGTGCACAGGTCACATGAAATTCAGGAACATGCTCGAGTCGCCCAAGCAGTGTAGTGACGGGCAGTGACGGGGTCTATGCATTTCGGCGGTGGGCTCGTAACGACATGTTGCCTTCTGTATGGTAGCAGGCTGGCAGAGGCCACAAGTGCAATCCGCCAGTGACTCTGCGGCATGGAGACGACAAGCAATGACACTTAAAATTCTTGCTTTGCACACCAGGTGACGCACGAACTTGCTCCAGGCGTGACTCCACAAGACCACCGTCCGGGCGCAGAACCAGAAACTCATTGTGGAGGCCTCGGTGCAGAACCATGCGTCTCGAGTTTCAATCAAGTCCATAGGGAAAGGATCTGTGGTACAACTGCGACTGCACACTGCCGTATGGACACGCAGTGGAGCCGAGGCAGAAACTGGTGCGACCTCTTCAATGTAAAACTTCTCCCATGTCCACCTTGAAGGGATATCGTTGATGCCCGATCTGGCAACACTGGTGATAGCCTTGGAGTCGGGTGCTTGGCATGAGTCATCTAGCAACACATGCATACACGCACACACACACACACACACTCAATATATCTTCACATCCACACTTTACTTCAGAGCAGCAGAGCCATGGTCCATCTTCACGAACTTGTTCCATTTTGTGCTCCACAGTGCGAAGTGGCCATTGCCCATATCTTTCAACTTGAACCGCTCCCAGTTCCAATGACTTGGAAGGAAATCTCGACTGCACTCGGAACTTCTGTCCACCTTGCCGTGATTGTTCAAGCGCAGAAAACGGTTCCACTGTGTGTTGTGGAAAGCGATCTCCCCATTGCCGATGTCCACGCACACAAACCTCTCCCACGTCCAGCTGTATGGCATGTCGTCCCAATCCCTCCATCCGTGCGCACCCCTCTCCACCCTATGATCAGACATACCTTGGCATATTGCAAGACCGGCAGAGAAGTGGGCCTACAGGCTTAGGGCTAGGGGTATCAAGACCGGGTGGCCAGTTCCGTAAGGAATCTCAACATTGGACACAGAGATCTACACCCCTTGCCTCAGGAATAAGATGGTAAGACTTGAGCCCAGGCCAAGCAGCGCATGTAGTGCTGATGGGCATGATTCCACAGCGCCACCGTTTTCCCAACACACCAGTGAGGGGAAACCTCAGCAGCTCCGACACAGTAGTAGGATGGGGAACTACTTGCAAAGAAGAGACTACCCCAATCAAGACCGGAAGCCCACCGCGAGAGCTAGCAGTTTAGCCGTGCAGTGAGAAGACACAATATCTGAAATCTTTGACAAGGACATATTAATATCGGTCTTTGGCGTATGAGTTGTCGCACCTGTAAACCTTTTGTAGCACGCCGGCTCTTGAGCACTTACAGTTCTGGCTGCAGGGCCACGTCCTTTCCGGTCTCATTCAGCGTCAGCGACAGGAGGGATGGTCCCTTCACAGCTCAAGCTGCATTGCATGGCACAAACGGTCGTCGTGACTGCATGGCATGACTGCATCGCCCCGCATGGCCTGCTCCTGCTCTGCCGGGGCTTTTGCGGCGTTCGCCCCTGCCAGTTGGACTCTCTCTGGGTCGTCCTTTGCCGAAGCCAGCACCCTCCCACCTTTTCTACGACAGGCCCTAACTACATTTCGAAAGCCCGTCCTCCAGGTCATCTTCGTCTTGGTCACTCATATCTCCCACATCCTGCAGGTGCAGTGGTGGCTGTGGCATGGTGATGGTCGGCCCCAGTCGAACGGCAAGCTTGCGGCCTCGACGCGCAAACGCCCACTCTCCAGCTTCAGCCTCTGGTGCTTCTGGCTTGTTTCCTTCTGTTCCAGGGCGTGCCTCAGATTCAGTTAAGCTGTCGGCAGCACCTCCTAAATGGAAGCAAGGAGATCCCAGCTACGCATACTTTGCAAACTCCACGTGGTCCACCAGTCGCAGAGCCCGCTCAGGATCCGCGTTGGTCATGTCCTTCATTGCAAGAATATCATACGACGCATCACTGCGATGAATGAAAGCGCAAGTTCTCCTAGACCTTCCCCAGAACTTCGTGTCTTTCCAGAAAGGTCCTCCATGAAGGGCAAGATGACCTCCATCACTGCCTTGCGGCCTCCGGGCAGTCAGGAGGAGTCGAAGAGTTTGGGGCTCAGCTCCGGGTGCTTAAGTGCATCTAAGCGCCTCGCAGCGCGTAGCGTTGCGCTGCCTCCAGGGAGCTCTCGAGGAGGCCCTCGTGGAAGAAGTGCACCTCCTCACTGTGGTGCTCGGCCACGAAGTGCTGCAGACGAGCGTCCAACCTGAAGACAACGGAAGCGACTTTCAGTCGTCTAGTCGTCTCTCGTCTTCCGCTAGGCATTCTCTCTCTGGACCTCTCAAGTCTCAAACGATCGAAGAGGCTTCACACGCTGCCGGATCTCCAGATGCAGGTGGCCGACGGCTCCGGTCTCGAAAAGTGCCATGCTCTGCTTGTGCGAGGCCACGAAGACATCGTGCAGGTTGCTTGGGTCGCACGGCAGCTTCTGACAAATTGGCCGCCACAGCTTCTCCAACTGCTTGCCCGTCGAATGCATCGATGAGTTCGAGTTCATGTCATGGGCATTCAAGATGCGGTGTGTTGAGGCCGTCGCACGTTGAAGTGCACTGGACATGGCCAATGTCTCAGCGTGCACTGAGCCCTCTGCAGCCCGTGCTTCTCGTTGAAGGAACGCTGGTGCAGCGAGGGCATGCGGGTCGGCCTCTTCCAAGCCATCACAGCGCAGCTCGGTAGGGATGGTCCTGTCCTCGTCTTCATCCCCTTCCTGAATGAGGGCACCCTTGAGTAGTGGCCACGTAATCTCCTCAAAGCGAGCAACTTGCTCCGTGATGGAGGCAAAGGTCTCCATATCAACCTCTGTGGGCACAGCTCTTTGGAGGATGCACTGTGCGATGGTAATGCACTCGGCAATAACGGCTTCGCTCCCGAATGGGCAGTGCCTCTGGCCCGATTCCGCAGTCATTTTCTCGCGCAGCACCAGAAAGAAACCCTGCACCTTGTCAAGGAGCATCTCCCGGTCCTGGACCGCGGAACACATGCGGAGTCGCAGCAGCATGAATTTTGCCTACAAGTACAGCAAAGCCTGACCCTGTGTTGCGGGGTCACTAAACCTAAACGCAGCGCTTGGAGCCCCACGGCCGTGATGTTGCCGAAGGCATGCACGATACCAGGGCTGTGGTGGCCATTGCGAAGCAGTGTGGAGATGTTCGTCAGGTTCAGAAGCACGATGGGCATAGAGGTCACCAGGTCCGTAGACTTGCCCAGCTGAATTACTTGCCGTTGCTCCGTCTCCTGCTCTTGCTTCAGCATCTCCTGAGACAAAGAGCCGGCTCTCAGGACACGAGAGTCCGAGAGACTCTACCTCACAGATCCTCAAGCATTCCAATTCCGGCTTAGCTGGAACTCGCCTGGTCAATCACCGTCTCTGAGCCAATGGAAGCTTGAAGCCGCTTGCCTTAGCGAACAGCGAACAGGCCCAGGCCCCCGTCGTGGGACCCCCAAAGCCGGAGGGCTTTGGCAAAATGCCGGAGCCTTGCCCCAAGTTAAACTTTCCATCCAAAGACACGGCACAATCATGGAAAAGGTGGCATCCGCCACTGGCGGGATAGAAAACAGCTGCATGGCAAGTCTCCTGAAGCTACTCGGCTTCATCATGCAGCGCGCAGGACTCTGGGCTTCCACAACTCCTGGGGACAGTTCGGCGCCTTCTCATTGCTGGCGCACTTCCTAGGATAGGAGTTGCAGCTGCAAGAACAACAGGTCTGAGAGGCCCAATTTACCGCTTTGTGGCAAGACTCAATTCGCACTCCTCTGCAGTGAGCCCCTCCCATCCGACGCAAGATTCCTTCAGGTTCTTCGTGTAAGGGGTCCCCACACACGTCTTCTTGTCAAAGACGGTAAACTCACGCTCGGAGCCGTCCGACGGTTCAGTCGCTTCAAGCGACAAACGCCGGGAGGTCTTTGCTGCGATGGCGCTCAACGCCTGCAAAGCCAAGATCCTGGCAAAACAAAGGGAAGCTGTGGTCCACGCACACACCTCGAAGATACCGGATGTCCTCCAGATCAGCTGCATTGTGGTGTAAAGGTGTCACCAGGCCAAGGCTGCAAACTTCCTGAGTCTATACAGCCAAAAGAGACCGATGGCTTTGAGCCTCGTTGGCAGCGTGGCCGGGCAATTTGGAACATGCTCCAGAAAATACGTTGTATGGACTTTCCTACATGCCACGGCGCGGCTTTAACTTGGTCGCGCACGGCTACAAAAAGCCGCTCAAGTCTTTTTGCCCTGCAAGGGCCCCATAGCACACGGTAACGGACAAACTCAATGCGAGCCGCAAATCATCTCTCACAACAAGAGACACTAGTCACTAGTCTAAAGCCGCCGTCACCCAACCTACTTGTACTGCCTCAGCCCCGGAGGTTCCGGCCTTCTCCACCGCCACAAGTTTCGCTTCTCTCTCACGACTTTTTGAGCTTTGGATACAGCATCGATTGTCCAACTGCCTACCCACGACTGAGAGCATCATCTTCCGGTGCAACATAGTGCAACGCAAACTCTCAGCAGCCTCTAGGTCGTGATCTCCGAAACTCGAAAGCTACAGGAGGTTGAGACATGCTTATGAGTCACATTTACAGTATTGTGGTCCACCTGCAACCCTCATCGGTGCCTCCTGCAGGCAGCGCACCCCTCTCTTGAAGTCCGTCCTGGCTCCAGATTCCAATCTTGCAGCATAGCATGGTGCTTCGAAGGGACACATGTCAGGTCATCGACGAAGCCAGTTTTGGCAACATCAGTATCATGGCCGCTGTCCAGATTCAAGCTGCAGCTCCCTCAAACATGCCACAAAACATGCCGACGGCACCCGGACTTTAAGCAGCCAAGGCCTTCAGCGTACGTCTCCTGACTCGGCTAGGCCGCTAGGCAGGACGGTCGGCGAAGTGGCTCAGCGCTTTAGCGTTAGAGCTTCCTTTGACAGTCAAAGCTCTTGTCGACAAAGTGCCTTCCGCTGCTACTCCAATGAAAGAACTCAGAGCTCTGTCCTCTACTCCAGCGCGAGGAACTCTCGAAAGCTGCTTGGCCTCGCCGGGATCACATTATCCAGTCACAACCATGCGTCAAAACGGAAGGTTTCGCCGTGCCTCGCCGGCCCATCCGCCTACGAAAGCCTAGGCAGACGATCGAGAGTTGGTTTTCTTGACAGTAGGCCAAGACCTTCTGGCGGTTTGCGCACATGTCCTGACTGCTGTGGCCAGCAGCAGCCTTCCGACACTCGCAATGGTGTGCTCTCCCATCCCGTCTCTTTATCCTTTCGAGAAGACCTCAGAAGACCATACATGCCGCACAGGCCTCAAGACATCTCAGATAAGGAGCTCTTCCCACGATTGCCAGCCATGCCAGCGCGATACACCTGCACTGAGGAGCTGTACAAACAATCCTCTGGTAATGCCGACAGCAAAGTGAGAACGACTGTCGAAGCTGCTGCTATGCATGCTTCGTCGGAACTCTGGAATGCTCTTCTCCAACTGCCCTTCCCACCACATTTTCACACTACAGGAAGCACGAAGCCATGCCTGACGATCCTCCGCAACATGCCTGACAAGCACGACTAGCTCCTGCTTGAGATAGACGGCGGCAGCCATCACCTTCCTTTCCTGAAATCTTTCGCCAGGTGCATGTTTCGCTGGCCCCGTTTCAAGCAGCTGGATCTTCCACAGCTGCATGGAAGCAGGTGTGTTTGTTGGCGGAATGGTCTGCATGTCTACCATAAGCCAATGGGAACTGACATACCAGCACAGGGTGTTGATTGCAACACGGGACGTGTAATGACTGCGGTCTTGTAGTGCAGAGACAACTGACACGGTGTCTCACACCTCGTAAGTCTGATTAAAACGGCTCACTTTCGCGGAGAAGTGTATGAAGTTGAAGTGTCGGACAGAGACCACCATGTCATTCCAGAACAGAATCTGGTACGAGACAATGTGCCGACATGGAAGGGCCGCCGATCAGGTTGACCAATGCTATGCTTCATGTGCAACCGCGTTTCTTTCCTTCGCTACAAATCGCGGGGGGGAGTTGTCGTGTCTCGATGGTTTCGATGCATGTGAAAAGGAGAAACCCGAAAGCTTTCCGAAAGTTGCTGACCTTTCGAGGCTGGAGCAAATATCAGTGCGGAGCATTCACGATGTCAGCATCTTGCGGTATGCATTCAAAACAGGCCCTGCGGGCGAAAATGGATCCCAACCAGCTCTCAAAGCATGCAGCAAACATGTGTAGAGTCCCATCATTCCTTCTCATCTCGTACCTGTTGACATCCTGTCGCTTTTGCTCAGGATCCCAAGCTGCGAAGGCTGAGGGCGAGGGCCTGCTCAGGCTTGGATGGCTTGGGCTTGGGCCTCAGCTTTGGGGCCCTTGGGGGGTTTTCAGTGAGACCTGAGGAGGAGAGGAGGATTGGGCGGAGGCTCCTCAGCTTCTGAGCTCTATGAAACGAAGGGCCCCGGTTTCCAGCGCTGTGCTGGCGCCCCGGGTCCGAAGGCGACGTCGAAGCTCAGGCCTCGGCCCGCCATGACGTTTCTTGACGTTTGAGATCGGACTGCCGGCGTTCTGACTTGAAGCATACACTGCCACCTCGTGTACTGACCGAGGCTCAAACGCCGCGGGGCTGCAGAAGCGTCGCATCACCGGCCTTCTCTGGCTTCGGAAAGAGCACCTGCTGCGACACTTACAGAGTCTTTACCGCTCTCGTCGAAGGGATGTTGGCTGTGCGGAGCTTCTTGGGTCCACGCCATGGGCATGACGTTGTCCCAATCTGAGGTGATCATGTCGGAGCACGGCCTCAGCAACCCAGTGCGTGGCCCGCTAGAATTCGCAGTTTCTCGCCCTCACTCCAGGCTTCCGCGCTTGAAAAGCCACCCCGTCGTACGCTCACGGTGCCAGCAGGTGCCACACCTGGACGACACCGAAGTTAGCGAGACCAACCCTGCTCCACTCGCCTGGTCTCCTGTGATCTCCTGCGATTCGGCGAACGGCTGCGCACCAGAATGCCCCAGAATCCATCATTTTTGTTTCGCTGCAGGCAAACATCTTGCCGGGGTCCGGGCCATCCATCAATGCAACCGTACTTAATCTCCTGCGAGTAGCACCAGGCAAACTGCACAACCGTCCCACAACGTTGACAGAGACCATGCCCGTCCCTGCCGAGGGCGAACTCCACAGCAGAGGACAGCCTCGCATTCCGGCCTTGAGCAGTCTGCAGAGGTCGCAGAGCTGAAGCGGCGCATAACTACAAAGCTCTGGGCTGCATCGCGGAAAACGGGTATCCCTCATTCTGCGCCGCTGGCGGACAGTCGCAAACTTCTTGTCTGGCATGATCACCACCTCCATACAAGAATCAACACAGGCTAAGCCGCTAACCATGACAGGGGCACAAAAAAGGGCCAGTGCATCACCGCCCTGAGACCAAGTCATGGAGCTGCAACTGTGCTTACAGTGGTGATTCAACCCAGTGAAGTCAACAACTGGACATGCTTCTCTCCACCGGTGCAGACTCCGTGACTTGGTGCTTTCAAGTTCAAGCCGAGGGCAGGCTTTCCATGGCTACACCGTCCGCCCGCCTTGATGGGGCCGTTTCGAGTGTTGCGCACCAGCGTCAGGGTCACCCTCGGCTCGAGGTAGGCTCCAAGGTGTCACGGTCACGGAGACTGGGCGACCGGGGCAGAGGCGAGTCGCCCTCGGACTCCCCTACCAACCTCGGCAGATCGGGGAGGCTCAGGTCACACAGCTCCAGATTGAGATGGACAAGAGCGCACGAGTTGAAGTCTCGAGCAGAGCAGGGCACTCAGACACTTCAATCACTTCAAAAGCTAAGCCCTACACCCAAATCCATCAAGCACAAAGTTCGGAGATTCAGGGTACTCGAAAGCTTGTCGAGGCACTTTGCGATGTCCTCGACCGTGGAATCAACGGTCTCCGTGCCGTTGACACCGATGACCTCTGCGTGTTCAGCTCAAAGCCCTTGCAGGATCTCTCTGTCCCGAAGACCACACTGAGCGGTACTTCGGAAGCAAACAACATGAACCGTGAATCCAGGCTTTATCAGCGACAGTATGACACACACACAACACATACACACACACACACACGGAGTTTGGGAGTCCATCAGGACTGAACCATTCACTTCCAGTTTTGCCATAATATGTTGATATAGTCGACGATAACCTGATAGCTTTATTGTGACGATCCTGACAATGCGACATGAACCTTAAAGTCCTCGAAACACACATGAGCATACAGTTCGGCTTGCCAGGTTTTTGGCTTGGCCTGGTTGCCATTCAATCCTAAAGCAGGTACGTCTGGCTGATCAGGCCAGATATCACCATGCACTGACAGTGTCTTCGTTGGGCAGTGACTGTCAGGCATGCACTGCCCCCCTGCTGACAAAAAGAACGATGCAGTACTGGATGCACCAAAGACCTCTAGTAAAGAATCGAGGCTTACACACACACACCCCTCAGTGAGGGGAAAGTCCTGAGTCCTGCGTCCAATCGTCCTGAGGCTCGCTTTGTTGTCGTTCCTTAGTATGGTCATCGTCGTCATCGTCGTCGTCGGAGAGAAAAGGAGAGAAAGCGAGAAAAGAAGACGATAGCTCGGCTGACAGACGACCAGAAAGAGGAAAGAGGGGAGAGAGAGCGAGAAAAGATGAACTGAGAAGACACGCGGTCCTTAGTATGGTCATCGTCGTCATCGTCGTCGTCGGAGAGAAAAGGAGAGAAAGCGAGAAAAGAAGACGATAGCTCGGCTGACAGACGACCAGAAAAAGGAGAGAGGGGGAGAGAGCGAGAAAAATGACGATAGCTCGGCTGACAAACTGAGAAGACACGCGGTCCTTAGTATGGTCATCGTCGTCATCGTCGTCGTCGGAGAGAAAAGGAGAGAAAGCGAGAAAAGAAGACGATAGCTCGGCTGACAGACGACCAGAAAGAGGAGAGAGGGGGGGAGAGAGCGAGAGAAGATGACGATAGCTCGGCTGACAGACTGAGAAAACACGCGTCTGGCAACCACTCCATGTTCACAACGCGAAAAGCTGCAAAAAATCAAGCCAAGATGCTGCCACATCATCTTTGGTATCTCTGCGTCTTTCGTTACTCAAGACTGCTAGAGCCACTGTAGGGCCAGTGGCCACGCAAGCCCACCACCTGACCAATCGGGGCACTCTCGTTCCGGTTGCTCACTCGGAGCACTTAGACCCATCACCTGACAAGAAAAGGACCACTCTTTATAGTGCCGTTGCACCATTGACCTGTCCCGAAGGAGTACGGCCTGTTATGTTACCATAATGGGCCGCAAAACGTACCCTGGCAGTCCGCAGGAGCGGTTATTGCCGTTGGCGACAAGGCCACACACGGAGTTTGGGAGTCCATCAGGACTGAACCATTCACTTCCAGTTTTGCCATAATATGTTGATATAGTCGACGATAACCTGATAGCTTTATTGTGACGATCCTGACAATGCGACATGAACCTTAAAGTCCTCGAAACACACATGAGCATACAGTTCGGCTTGCCAGGTTTTTGGCTTGGCCTGGTTGCCATTCAATCCTAAAGCAGGTACGTCTGGCTGATCAGGCCAGATATCACCATGCACTGACAGTGTCTTCGTTGGGCAGTGACTGTCAGGCATGCACTGCCCCCCTGCTGACAAAAAGAACGATGCAGTACTGGATGCACCAAAGACCTCTAGCTTAGAATCGAGGCTTACACACACATCACACACACACACACACACGCGAATCAGCACGTAAGTCAAAAAAAGTTGCCTGCGCAATAATTCGGATCCTTGCCGGCCTTCTATTTCATGGGAACGGAAGTCTTATTCAGTCAGCCAGTCTTGCTGAGACCAGACCGTAAACGTGATACAACACTGAAGTGCTTACGTCCGAGCCCAGCCGAACTCCAGCGGAAGTTCTGAAATCACTGAAATCTTCTTCGCAGCTTGGAGCTACATCATGATGTAAGAGCCTTGCAGAAACGCTTTCACGCCATCGATCTGGTACATAACTATGTGCAGCATGGGAACTGAAACTATGCGGTAGTCTGGCTATCGACCGGGATGGGCTTGACAGTTCGGGTGTATGATGGTGTATGAACGTCAACGAAAATGTAAGTCTCACGGGAAAGCAGAATCTCGTCGGGTGTGCCTTGAAGGATCCCCGTCCCTCCCTCAACTGTGTGGAGCAAATCTGACATGCTCTCGCACTTCCAAAACCTAAGCTCCTTGCTCTGTCACCCTCCAAGATCCACATACCATTGTCCTCCTCGGTGATGCAGACCTTCCTCCAAGGCTTGCTAAGCTTATGCTCACTAAGACACGACTTGCGAGGTGGGAGGGGAACTCATCCCAACGCCCACAGGTTCACTACGCCTGAAACGCGTGCGCAGCTACCGCACGTCCTGTTGAGCTGGTCCGCATTGCTCTCCGGGGTGATAGAACTGATGCCCACGCCTCGAAAACCCAAAAAACTGCCCCGTGACCCGCTGTGATCTCTCCGTCCTCGGCCATCAGGGAAGGCCTCCAACGCCAAGCCCAGTGGCTTCCTGCGACTCTCACCGCTTGAGCAGACTTTGTTGCGGTGCTTTGCGCCAAGTGAAGCGCGGGATGGAGACATCGAACACCGCACGATCTCCACCTTACGAGCTCTGAAGCAGCTCATCACAGGCCATGCTCACATCCCGGAATGGGATTTTCCGAAGCTGTGCCCTAATCAGTCAAAGTCTCCTTAGGAAGTATGTTCCCAATGGTTCCTGTTGTGGAGGACGTTGAGGACGTTTAGAACAACCCCCATAAAGGGCTGTTTAGACGGATGTCCTCGGAGGTGATGAGAACAAAAGAGAGATATTGCAGGATTCCGGAGCAAGCACAGCAGGAGCTGCAGGCCCAGATGCCCAAAGGCATGGAAACAACATAAAAGCATCGGGTGCAGGGGGCCGGGGGGGGGGGGGGGGGGGCAAGGGGAACTTCAATCATCCCAGTCTGTGGTTACTTCGGCACGGTCCAGGCATTAGAGGTAGCTGAAGCACCTTCGGAAGCGCGGGAAGAGAAATTGCGTGCCAAGACATGGGGTGAAAAGGGATGTCAAAGCCCGCTGTCGACCTTGGCTCTGGTGCCCTTAAAGGGGGGTGCGGGCTTTGACTGTAACCATAAGGGAACATAGCTCGTGCCTTGTGACTTGTGCCTAGTTTGGGTTCAGGAATGTTGAACAACTTCCCTTGCCATATCTGCCCAGGGTGCAGGCACTGGCTGCACACAACTCAATCCGCAAAGGTGCAAAGAATAGGGCTGGCACTGATGCGCTTCACCTTCCTGAACCACTCCACCCTGTTGGAGGCCAAGGAAGAGATCACGTCGAATCGCACAACTGAACCCAACAGATTCCAACATCAATGGGCATCCTTGTGGCCCCTCTTACCCACGGCACTCCACATGACGAACCCCTGACAAACCAACAACAGTCGCTTGGAGCTTTGAACCCTTGCATGCCCAAACATCCGACAACGATTCTTCCCAACCTTCCCAAGGAAGGGGCATCCCCGCCCAAAGATCAGAAGGACGGAGCCCAACCTGGTGGCTCGCAGCGCTGTGGACTTGCGAGCTCGCACGGCCTCGTGGCTATGTTTGTGTGCACCCGTTAACTAACTGCCATGAGACGTTGCCAAGAAAGAGGACTCCCAGAAACAGGAGGAATGGAAAACGATATCCTTGGGTGCTGAATGCGAGAAAGCACGCTGCCAACAAACATCGGGCCCCTACCACTGCACCGGCAAGCGCCACGGCAGCCAGACTCCCAGCAGAAAGCCCCAGGCCCTCGCAGAGGACACGATTTTGCCGCTTCTTTATGATTACTATAGTGCTGCCTAGAAGTTCCTTCTTGACAAGACCTACCTACCACTTCGTGTCCAAGACTCGGAAGGCTTCAACCCTTTAGTGTGCTTCTTCAGGCGTTTATAATCCACAGAATTCTGCCTGTGGGGCCTTATGCCCTATGGCCATCGAAGAGTGCTGCAATTCTGGCTGTCCAAGAACGGCCATCTGCACACATGCGAAGCAGCCTGGCCATCAGAAACTGTGCTCGTCTCGGGTCGGACGGCGCCTCGCATCTCTGAGCGCTCCCACGTCAGCTAAAACTTCATCCGACCGGTGCCTCGCAGGGACGCCCCAGCGCCAGCATTCGTGCGTGCCGGGCCTGCAAGAGCCAGGCATGAGCTTCCACGGATAACCCCAAGAAATGCAAGGGATCCCACTGACCCACCCAGCCTACGAAGCTCAGCGCCGCGTGGAGCGCAGCCACCAGGGCTGCGGCCACAGCCGCCTTTGCGAAGGCCCAAGCCGCAACCCGGAGTCTTTTCTCAGACACCTTGTTTGGTGGCCTTGCTTTAGAGTTGTTGGGCTCGTCCTGTTGCTCTGGAATGGAGCTGATCACCGATGTCCAGTCACAGCAGGCCTGCTTGGCAGCGAGCATGGCCGGGACCGAAACCTGCCCGGAGCCAGGAGAGCTCAAGCTCAAAAGCCCTCGTAAGGCGACACATCGAACACCGGTAAACCGAACTCGGTCATGCAGAACTTTTCTGTGTCCGCTTGGGCCTGGGGTCTGGCCGAGGCGGGGTTTTCACACTGAGAGCAAGCGGCGACGGATCAGCTCACGGCATGCCGCTCTGGTGTATTAAAGCGTATTGACATGTAATAAAACATATTACGTCCTCTTGGATCTCGCCTGAGGTGGGGTCTGGCAAAATTCTTGACTCGGAAGCGACGCTGAGTACTCAGCTCTGCACCATGCACCTAGACTTGAGAATTTCCCAGGAAGGTCCAGCGTTCAAGCAATACATGCTTTCCCAAAAATCCCTTGATGGAATGCCGTTCTGCAGAGATCCAGACATGGGAGAGAGACGTTCTGGGAAATCCTCATGTTAAAAATTGGATTGGGGGCCACGCGCCCAGCCTTGCAAGGAAACTGGAAAATCGTCTGTAAGCGACATTTGTGCACAGGCGCCCAAACCCAAACCACTGGAGTACGTGAGCTTCTACCAACACCACCCAGACTTCGGACATGGCTCCTCGACTTTTCAGAGATCCCTAAACCCCATGCTTATCAGCCCGACGCTGCCCTGTGCGAGTGCAAAACTGTCGGGACTGGCCGCTCAGTCCCTCAGACGAGCGGTGAAGGTTGCCGTAGTCTTATCAGTCTTGTCCTACAATCTTGCGCTGCAGAAACTCATCTACTGCTGAGAGCTGCATTTGGGAGTCTGCAACAAGCTGGCTGCATCGCTTGGATACAGCCTTACAGCCCTGTAGTTACAAATGTGGAACTCACCTCACCGACCCGCAACTGCGAGTGCATCTCGATGCTCTCTCGTGTTTGCTTTGCTTGGCTCTAGAGCCAAGCGGTCCGCGGGGCGAAGGCGAGGAGCCTGCGTGCCATCACTCACGGCTGCGCCTGGCTGCAAAGGGATGGCCAAGCGAGGCTACAGTACCGGGGCGCCGAGGCTGCAACGCTGGGCGTGGACTTCGCGAGCTCCATCTCTTCCTGCACCAAAGGTGCAGTTGTGGAGCCATGGGTTCGTCCAGCCAAGCGCCGCACCTCGTTCATCTCCGCGTCGATGTCGCCGAACAGAGGGGTTGACAGGTATCGCCTTTCGGGAAAAAGTGCTCTCAGGCAGTGGCAACACTACTTGTATCAGTACCAAAGCAGACTTCTCAAGTCTTTTCTCCCTGACAAAGGTTACGTTGCTGTGAGCCCATGCCCCATGTGCAGTGACAGACGCAGCAACATTTTGCAATGGGCCCCTGCTCAGCAGTGTCGGGAATCATTGCCAGGATTGTGGTGCCAGACGGCCTCAACTCGGCGGTGGAAGCTCCAAGGCACGGACCCTCGGAGGACCCTTCACTCGAGCAAGTGGTTCACTGAGCTGCGAGCGCTTTTGCCGCGACCTGGCACTTACAGTGGGACATTCCCCGACACTTGTATTTCAGACTCGCCTCCAGTGCTGTTGCCACGGTGGCCCCACCGGAGGTCCCGCAGAAGATGCCCTCCATCCTGACTCGAGCATAGAAAACAGCTGAGGCAAGGCGCAGGCCAAGGCTCTCCCCGTCCTTGCCAAAGCGTGCGAGGTCTTCATGGCCTCCGGATCGAATCTCTGAAGCTCAGAATCCGTTTTTACTGGGCCACTGGGATCAATACCCTGACTTCAAGAGCCCATAACGGAAGCGTCAATGTCACTTCCATGAAGCAGGCTTATGCTTGGGAAAACCAGCATGGTGAGCTCAGCTGGTGAGACACAGTGTGGACGCTGCATGCTGCAGCATCAGTGTTTCAGTGTTGCATGGTGTGGCCATTGTCATGAACTGCCTCCTGCGGGTCGACGGTAAGGACCTCATCACACGAATCACGGACGACTCGCGATGGCGCGGCTCTCTTGGTCATTGTACTTATGGCAGCTGCTATTCCGACGCTATTGGATCTCCGAGTGCACATACCTCATCGTGGACCTTCATCTCCAGACCATCCTGGGCACCGACGCAACACCACTCTCGATGTTGAGCGGCACACTAAACTACAAACATCTCTAAAACTCCTGCGCAAGTTATGCACTGCTTCGTCGCTCCTGGAATTCGCAGGTTTTTGTCCGACTCATCCAAACCTTGGGGCCTGGCCTCCGTCACTTTCGGAATGAAGTTCGGTGTCCATCCTCGTTTTCGAACTTTGATGAAAGGTGCTGTGAAGGCTAAGACGGCGAAAGCTGCCAGGGTCCAACTGCAAAGCAAAGAAGCCTGTGATTGTGACTCAGGACCTCAGTGCCCCACCCTGGATAGGATGAGGATTCCAGGCCTCAGCGGCAAAGGCCCGGCCCCCGAGCACGACAAGCTCCTCGTGTGCCCTCTCCTCCAGCCCGCCCCAATTGCTCATTGTTTTGCATCAACCAATGCACGTCGCTCTGCTGCTCGGCATCACTCAGCACAGCGCCCTTCATGCCGTGTGCGGTTATAGGCCAGTACGAACACACACACACACACACACACAAGAAACTGCTCCTAAATTGCCACAACGTCCCGACTGTGAACAGCGGAGGCAACCAGTAATCTCCGATCTCCTACAAAGAATGTCCGAAAGCACCTGCAAAAGCAAACAAAAAGCGGACCTGTGCCCGACTTTCGTGTACGGCCCTGACCGAGAAGCTAAGCCCTCGGCCGGGTGCCCCTTCGCCGGTGCACCTTGGTGGAATGGTGGTGAGCGATCAGCCTGCGCATGCCTGCGCTAGAATCCGGTAACAACGGATGGCAGAGAATACAGGGTCTGAACAAGGTGGTAAAGCAACCACAAACAACAAATTATTCCTCCCTACGCTGGCAACAATCCATGAAACATCCTTGAAACCACGCAGCTGATACTCTCCAAACAAACTCGTCCGGCACATCACTATGGTGAAGCCAATTTTTCTGCGATGGTAGAGAACTCCTGAAGAACAACGCGTCCCTACTCTCCAAGACGTCGACCGAATTTTCCCAGAACCTCCTTCCTCTCCTGCAAGGCACTGGAGCAGGTGCGCAGAGCAACCAAAAACCAAGGATCTCCCAGACGCTGAGTTTACATCAACAGCTACCGCGAGACAGAGGCCAGGAAGCCGCTTCTGAAGCAACCCACAATCGCAACGGTTCGATCCATCATCCTGCTCAAGACTTAAGAAGCATGCAAAGCTGTCCTGCTTGATGCCACTGCTGATCAATGCTGCGCCCTGCTCTCGATTCAGGCTTGGGCTTGTGACGTGTGACATGTGACAGCATGATGCGCACTACATGTCAGCATTTTCCTCAAGCTGACATTCCCTGGTCCATGCCTTGGGCTCGGAGAGGATGATCTTCAGGCCAGGACGTGCCTCCGCATGCGACAACTAGGCATCGTGCTCACAACTGCCCGGAGCCGTGGCACATGGAGCCCGGAGCCTCCTTCAGCACTTTGCCTGCTCCTTGGAAGGTGCCGCCCGTCCCATAGCCTGTCACCTCAAACGGACACGAAACCTCACATGCTTATCGTGCAGTCATGGCCTGGATGGTGGTGGTACTGTAGCCTTGTATTTTGAGCAACAGAAAGGTCTGATGCATTTGGTTGTACGTGATGTTACATTCTTCGGGTGTGATGCTCGAGTCGCTTACAAAGATTAACATAAACTCGCATCGATGGCTCCTGAACCACCGAAACCGCCCGAAACCTGGTCAGCTGGCCCCCGACGACGACTTGCACGCTCCGCACACAGAAAAACAACAAGCTCAGTCGGACCGTTGAATCAGCCGAGCGACCCAGTAGTCCAAGGTCTTACCCTCGAAGTCCCTGCGGATGCTGTCGTGAGTCGCTGCGGGCCGGGAATCTAGCATGGGCTCACATCTTAAGCCCGAGCATACATGTGAGTTGCGAACAACTCGTCAGCTACCGCATCCTTAATGTCAGGCGGAGATCCTATGGCCGCGTACTTTTGAACTCTCACCTTCGCAGAGTCGATTTACGGTTCTCTCATGTGGCAAAGGCATTCTGGGCTCAATCTGGAAGTTCCTGCAAAAGCGTTCCACTTTTCCGGAATTTGCAACATCTGCGATTGATGAAGAACGAATGCAAAGCCACGGGAATGCAAAACGGGCAGCAGCAAACCTAGAATGTTGCTAGATTCATGGTTCAGTCAGCCCAGAAACCTGCCTGGACCGGTTTTACACAAGGTCTTAGTGAATATGACCAGATTCGGGCGAATGTCTTGAGTGCACGGCGCGAGGATCTCGGGCCCAGTTGTCTTGGCCTCAGCTGGGAGCCAGGCATGGCATCCGCATCATGGGTTTAAGCTTAAACACGTATGACTGGCGGCCTTCACACCTTATGACCAGCGAAGGGGGGCATCGACTCGCACTTCGACCCCGCCCTAAAACATGCCAGAAGTCAGATGCATCACCTCTGAGTTTTGCAGGGCTTTCAGGCATGCACTGAAGGTGTTTCATGCTACATCCCACCGTTCTCCGTCAGAGGCGCACGCGTGGTAGGCAGGATTCGCCTACAAAGCGAAGCGAGACTCGACGGGCTAAAGGACTCTCGTCTCTCCAAGCATCCCTGCCTTCGAACACCCTGCGAACGTCAGATGTGCCAAACAGACCCCACCGGATCTGGCCTCGTTTTCAAACTGCCGAGCCAGATACCAGCCATGTTTCTCAGCCAACTCCTGCGCCAGCCGGAGAAGGAAGGTGAAGAGTGAAAAGAGCTTCTTGACTCACAAACTCACAAAAAGGTTCGCAAAGCCTCGGCTTTGAGCACCATGCCAGTGCCACCCAACGGTGCCGGCGTCACCTCAGCTTCTCCTCACACTTTCGCCAACCGCAGACACCCGGCTCGTCTTGCCAAGAGGATGCAACGTCCCCAGATCAGTAAAGGTAAATGCATCAACAAAAACTGTGAGTAAGGGTGCTCTGGGAGCCTGGCAACGACTTTCGCACCCAGCATCCTCATCACCTGCAAAGACTGGCAAAGAGGACAGGGACCGCTGAGGCCGCCTGTGGGCCTTCCGTCGCTCCACCGAGAAGGAGGCCGCCATGGTGGAGACGAACTTGTACCCTCGCTGGGCACAGACCTCGTTCGGTGAAGGATCCTGATGCCGCTCCAGAACCCGATAGATGGCAGCAGACCTTTCCTGCAGCCGGGCCACCATTGCTAGTGCGATGCCGGTGTTGCCACTTGTAGCCTGCGCCGGTCTCTCTCACAGCGCAGGAGAGTTGGGGAGCTTCGGGACCTCCACGACCGTGCCGCCAGGCCTGAGACAAAAAGCGAAAGCGCTCAGACAGCGCTCCCAAGGAAGATGAAGAAAAGCTCGGAGCCGGGCTTCAGCTCTCCCCTCTGCTCAGCGTCCTGACGCTGGTTTCCCTTTCTAGGGCAGAAGACATAATTTCGTTTTGCGGTCAGACCTCGATGATGGCAATGGCAAGCCGATCCTGCAAAATCTGCGGGAGGCGAGATGAAGTGGGCGGCTCTTCATGTTGACTTCAACATCGTGGCCCTCGCGATGCTCCCCGATCGAACTCGGCCTTCACGGAGCTCAGGGGGTTGAAGTACTCGCACCTGCAGCGTTGCGTTACACGACTACTACGTACCGAAACAAAGACCTCCTAACCACAGAAGAATGAGCGGCTCCCTGAGCCCCAAAGCGCTGTTCTGAGCTTGCGCACTTCACGTAGAGGTTGATGCCGGCGGGCGCCAGCCGGTTCACCTGGCTCCGAGAGGCCAAGTCTGGCCGCCTGGCTCCAAAAGGCCGCTGCCTTGATCACGGGGGTTTTGCCGATGGCCTCTGTGATGTTGTTGTACACAGCGCCTGCAACACCGCCAAATTCCCAAACCCGGCACTCCGCTCTCTCTTCTAAGGCCCCGGCGTCGGGGAACGGAGGTGGAGATGCCCCTGATTGCGCATCCACGTGCTAGGCATGCTGGGCTGGTTTAATCTTGCTTGGGCGTGAATGGATTGCTCGCAGGTGGCAGGTCTTACATGAAACAGCGTCCAGTACTCTCTATGACTTTATGCCAGCAGCTGCAAGTGCAAAGACTTCCATCCGGTCTCGTGGGCTCTTCAATTCGCTTCGGCGACCAAAACAAACATCACCAGCACCCTCTTGTCGGAAGAAGCTTCAAAAGCGGCGGGCCAGCCTCGTAAACACAAAGCCCCTGGCGACTGGATTTCGGATGAAGTTTCCGGCAATATCAGAAGTTCGATACTGGTGTCATATGTCCGATCTACTTGCAAGTTCAATTGCTTTCCGCCATTCTGTGTAGAACTGCAGCTCACGACATTGGCCTGCTCCCAATCATTTTGCCACTCGCCTGTCAGCACAGACGCTTTGGACAGACACCTTTCTGGCCCACTATCATGTAAATCCACTGCGCAAGCTACTGCTGCCAATCCTTGAAATGTCAAGACGCAACGTCGGCAAACTGCGGGCCTATACGGCTGCAACACATCGAGTTTCGGTCTTGCACACCGACATTCTACAATGGAACCAAAAGAAACTATCAAACAAAAGCTCGCGAGTTCTGCTGGAAACCGAGCAAAATGTCGCAAAGGCTTTTTCTCAACAATTCCAACAAACAGAATGCCAATCAAGCTAGTTTTCCTCAGTCCGTTGTTGACAACCCAGTCCAACATGAAGCGCGCTGCCCGGATTTGTGGAATTCGTAGACCAGCTTTGGATTTCGGAATTCGGTCGCTGGACTGATCTGGTTTTGGACAAGCTCCTTCCCTAACCTTTCATCTGGTGTGTCCTCCGCGTTTCATTGCTGGCGGAAAGATTGCAAAAAGCTTCAAACTGGTGACAGTCAATGTCGACAATCTTCTGGGTTGCATGCAGAAAATCGCACCGTTGACCGGTTACAGGCGTTGGTTGCAAGCTGTTGCCAAACTTCACACATTTTTTTTGGAACTCCGTCTTCCAAGATACTTATACTTATGTTGTACCAGAAATCCGCATTTCTCAAATCCGGTCCAACGCAAAACTTGGACAACCCGCCCAAAAATCTTTGTTGCAAACCTTGGACAGACCGACAAGTCTGATTCGTGGCTCGGGCGGCCTACATGGCAACACACCATTTCGCAAGGTGAAATATGAAAGTCCAACTTGTTCTAGACAAGATGCTGTGCAATCCAGCTAGCCAGCAACAGGGCAAGTTTTTTTTGGCCTGTGCGGGCAACCGAAGTTAAGCTTCAATTCAACCCCAACTCCAACTCAGAGTTGGGGTTGACCCGACCCTTAACCCTACAGTTCTGGGTTGGGGCTGGGGTCAACCCGAACCCAACCCCGACACAAAGGTTAGAGTTGGTGTCAACCCGAACCACAACCTCAGGTTAGATTGGAAGTTAACCCAAACCCACAACCTCAGGTTCAGGTTGTTAGCCCCCCCCTCGAGCGCCCTTCAATTTTCAACCTCTTCCTCTTCGCCACAGGGAAACGCTTCAGGAAAATTAAAAGCAAAAAGAGACATGAATCATCGGTTCGACATGAAAACGTCTTCTCCAGCGAACAAGAAGGCTTTAAGGGCTCAGCCAAAGGGCGGGACGGGTATCCAACCCCTAAAAAGCGCAAAAGCTCTCGGCAAAAACCTTATTTCCATTAAGCTGGGTAGCGATAGTATTTCGCCCCCGTCACGATGATGTTGGAAGCTTTGCGGCGTGTGCAGACGTCAAAAGGCAAGCATGGAGGCGGGCGTCCCCGAGCCACCGATACGCCTACTTAGGCGCCTCCTGCGAAACAAGCCGTAGATTTTTGAGGCCTTGGCTATGATACCTCTGCAGGTGTTGGGATCCCCTACCCATTGGCTATACCAAGCACCACCGCTTCAGCTTATCGGGTTAGGAACCTGCCCTAAATCTTAACTAACCCTGTGCAGCGGCCTAAATTTTAGAAGGGCTCAGCCAAAGGGTGGGACGGGTGCCCAACCCCTAAAAAGCGCAAAGCTCTCGGCAAAACCTTATTTCCATCAATCTGGGTAGCGATAGTATTTCGTGCAGCACAGCAAGACCTGCCTCTTGACCTGTGTGGCCCTAACCTTTGCGGCAGCGCGACCTTATTGGAGGCGGAGCAACATTGACTTTCCAGTGTTGTCAACTGCAAGACTACTTGCTGAGCCTCCACAGCACTGATTGTTACCGGCTGACTTGCGTTTGAAGGGGCCGTACTCCATCGTTTCCCGCATGGAAGCCGTCTTCGTGCGAGAACAGTCGTTGAAGTTGTACCAGCACGTTGGGCACTTGCACAGGCCCACCGACTTGATTCGACATCTGGAGGATTTTTTTCCAAGTCGGAGGCGAAGCTGAGCAACTTCAGTTGTCTGAGGCGGACCGTTGCTCTGTTCTCTTACAGAGTTTGGGTGCAGAAGTGCGTCAGTGTGTGGTACTGCACGGGTCCAGCTCGAACTGGGAAGCTCTTCGGAAGACGCTGACTTACTACGAGGAGCAGCTGCGACTGTGTGAGGCTCCTGGCTCTTCTGGCCGAGCCTTGCAGGAGAAGGTTTGCGACTACTGCGGGAAGAAGGGACACACAGCCGAGAAGTGTTGGCAGCGCCAGAAGGACGAGCGTGGCCCCTTCTGGCGCCCTCCAACCCCCTCCCCCGCTCTCAGCCGCAAAGACCACAACATGAAAAGAGCAAGCCACACACGAAAACGCTCCCGTGGGTTTAAAGGGAATCAAAAATCAGAATCAGGAATGAACGTCTTCTCCAACAAACAAGGAAGCTCCGTCTTTCGTTGTTTTTCTTTCGTTCGCCAATTTATTCAGGGGTTGAGCTCTGATCCAAGCCGTCCAAGCCAAAAAACAAACAAGAAAGCTGCAGGTACTGTTCGTCGTTTGTTGGACAAGACGTTCATTTCTGATTCTGAATTTTGATTTGTTGTTGACCCTGGTTTGTTCCGACTTCAAAGAGCGCGCGAGAGTGTGAAAACCTTTTCACTCCACGCTTAAGCCAGTGTTGAGCAACATCTCTAGCGGAGTTTTGCACAATAGCAAATTCTCTTTCAACTTTGTTAAACTTAGAAGGAATCACATACGACCGTCCTAACAGGAAGTTTGCAGCCACTCTGGTCTTAGTTGGTGCCGGTTTGAGTGAAGTGTAGAGTCGGCGGAAACAGTTGGAAGGCGAATAGGAAACAGCTTCCACTCGGAACCGTCGAGATTTTTTTCTCTGCCGCAAAGAAAGAAGATGCAAGCAGCAACAAACGAACAATGGATTTGGAACCCCTTTGGAAGAAACTATCCAATAATGGTGCCTCTGTGTCTCACCAAGGTCAGAAACACTTTTTGTTTCTCCTTTGTGAGTTTTAGAGAACCTTGGGTGTAGTTGTGAACGGTAGGAGTTGGGAAAATCGGTCGCTGCGCTCACGCTTCCTGTCTCACCTTGCGGTGAAAGTGATCATTACCAGAAGCGTGTCCAACCGGAGTTTTCCTCACGAGTTTTCACGAAGAATGGTGTTTCCCTGAACTTTCCTGAAGCATGATGAACATCAGAGTGTTGTCAGTTTGTTTGCTGTGAGAGCGGACTTCTAGACGAAGTCCGGGGAACACCTGGGCCGTGTAGCAGAGTTGCCAGTGCAGAGAAGCCGTTAGGAGTCCTTAGGACTTACCGCAGAAGTGAGTGTGCTGAAGTCTCTGTCTGCGCCCCGTTTCACTTTGGCTCAAGACTTGCACTGCGTGACAAGCGCGTGGTGAACAGTTGGTTGCGACGAAAGGTGTAAAAGTGCTGTTAGCTTTCACTGCTGTAGCCTTGCGTGACGTAGTCAGTCAGTCGGCTTGCACCTCCTTTTACTAAACCTAGAAGTGTGCCTCAAGGCGCGTTTGGGTTTTAACGTGGTAGCGGAGCTCAAGGTTGCTCCTCAGAGCCATGGACCCACGAGCCGAGCCCGGCCGCGACCGTTCCCCAAGAGGACGGAGTTCGGGGCGGAGTGCTAGTCGTGCCAGTGGAGTTTCTTCTGGCTTTCCTTCAACCCCTCGAAGTGCACCTGGCTCGCGGACTCGTGGAAGGTCCCTTCCTGCTCGGAACAGTCCGACAGCACACCGGCCTGTGAGTAGACCCAGACCTCTTGCGAGTGCAGGTCAAGTGCCTCAGGTGCCTTTTGCACAGGTGCTTCAGCAAGTTCCTTTGCAGCAGGGTTTTCAGCAGCAGCAACAGCCTCATTTTGGACCGCAACCAGCTTTCCCTCACGGAGGAGGGATTCCGCAGCAGGTAACTGTGCCTAGTCCAGAAGACAACACTGTCAACCTTTTCAGGCAGATGTTGCAAGCCCAGGATGAACAGATCCGAGCTCAGCAGGGCCAGATTTCGCAGCTCACCGAGATGGTGAAGACGCTCGCCGTTGCGAGTGCGAATGCTGCAAGTTCGGCCGCAAGTGCAGCACCCGTTGCTGCGAGTTCGTCCCAAGAGACGCCTGCTGCAGCTCTGGGCTCCTTCAGAGTTGACTCTGATGGTGTTGTGAAGATGGATGTGGACACAGGCTTGCGCAGCAACAGGGCGGAAAACTACATTCCGTCCCTGCCAAAGTTGGCAGCAGACAAGATGAGATCGCGCCATGAGGAAATCTCCACGTGGACCGCTTACCGCGAAGAACTGACCTCCTGGCTGTGTCTTTTAGACGACCGCTACGCGGAGGAACTGCAAGAGGCTGTGGAGAGCGGTGTTCAGGTTCAGCAGATCAGCCTCTCAAAGGGGAAGGCCGCTCGTTCCACTAAGCTGTGGTACCTCTTGAAGCAGGCTCTCGCTGGTTTTCAGCGAGGAGTTGACATAGCCAAGCTTGTCGAGTTGAGTCAAGGCGGTGCCGCTGCAGGGTACGACCTCTGGCGTGAGTTGAACAAAGAACTGTCTGTTAGGTCTCGTGTGGAGGGACAGGCGCTCAGAGAGCAGGCTCTCTTGATCGCGCCACCAAAGCACTTGAGACGGCCATTGGATATTTTTCGCCATATGATTTCTGATTTTGCTCGCTACCGCACGCTCGTTGCCAACAAGTACCCAGACCTTGAACTGCAGCAGGCTGATGTTATCAGCTGCATCTTGAAGCACCTTCATGATGATTGCAAGAAGTACCTTTTGTTGCATGGGTCTTTGACAACCTTGGAGCAGCTTGAGCGCGGTTTGGTTTTCTATGATGAGCAGCTTCGTGTTTTGAACTTTCACAAGGAAGCCTCGAACGCCAAGGGCTTTGCAGCTTTTGGTGGTGACCGTTCTGAAAAGGGTGAGCCCAAGGGTGGCGAGCCCAAAGGAAAAGATCATGGAAAAGGCCAAGGCAAGCATGGTGATAAAGGCAAAGGCAAAGACAAAGGAGGAAAGGG